CTCGTCGCTAGGGCGAGCAATCCTCCTCCTCCCGCAACGCAACCCGACGGCTATGGGTGCGCCGAACGATGCTGTGGCCCTCAGGAAAGATGGTCGTGTGCCGTCCTCCCCCGGCGTCAGTTGTGCCCACAGCACCGTCGCCCGGTGCGCCTGCTCGTTTACACCAACGGTGGCAACTGTACGACGTCCTGGTGAGGTGGCCCACGGCATCACCTCGAGCGCAGCGTTGAGGAAACCCATGCCGCGCGGTCACACCCGGACATTGATGACGGTGCCCCACCTGTGCCGGCCCAGAAGGCATTGCTTCCAGAGGCGAAATTCCTTCTTTGTGTGTATATGTCTCCTTGCGCAGCTTCTCTCGGCACATCGTGTTGTATTGTCCAATCCGACCACGTTTGCAGCGTCGTGCTTCATTGGGCGGGGGTGCGGCAGCCTCTCTCTTTTCGCTGTGAACCGCCTCGGGGAATGGGCAGTCCCATTCCTGGGGCACTTCCACAGCACCCTGGATGTCCTGGATCCGCACTCCAGCATCGTTTTTCACTGTCCGGAGGATCCACGTGACTGAGCGTGCGCAGTCGCCCTAACAACCGGCAAGATTCCATGAACATCTCTTCCCCGCGAATGGCGCACGCCCAGGGCGCATCGTTCCCCCCACGGCTGTCTGCGTGACGGGACCTGACGCGGCCGGCGTCGGAAAGGTGGCCCAAGACGCATCCAGAAGCTGTGGCCAGGTTTTGCATCCATCATGCATTTCAATACGCCGTCAAATGGTGCGACTGCAAGCCTCCGGACAAATCCCCGCCTCCCACAAATTCCCCTCTTGAGTCCCTGTGTGCCCCGTACGCCGAGCAACAGCTCTACTGCCTCCGGCGCGCCATGAATTTGCAGGATCTTTCGATTGTCTCTGCCGTATCGGACGCATTCCTTCTTCCCGTGGCAGAAGTGGTGGAGACTTGTGACGGGCCGTGCGGAGTGCTGATGGTCGCCAAGTTGTCGTTCCATTGATGACCATGAGCAACTCCTGCATCGGCGCCAATCGAATCCGCACCGCCTGGAACTGCGCGTGGACATATGAGCTGCATTTCAGTATTTTTGCTCCTCCAACCGAGCCCAAGCGCGCTCATATGGGCCAGTGCAGCGCCAGCCGCCCTCCTTCAAGTGCCGCCCACTTGCTCCAAACAGCAGTGTGCTTCTTCCTCTTCAGAGAGGCTCGAATGGACTCAGGGTTCCTCGGCACGGTGATAGCTGCGACAGAGTGTCGCAACGAGGTGCAATTCGTGCCGTTGTCCTGGCCCTGCCTTGCAACGAGTTTGCCGCCCGCTAATGGTGAGAACGCCGCCCACGTGGTGGCTCAATGGCGGGCTATTCGCTGGGCAAAGACAAAGTGAAGAACCTGCCGTTGGACCACTCCGCCTCACAATGTGGCCGTGGGCGTGTCTGTCTCGTGGACGCCGTCCAATCCATGAACCGCCCTAAAAAAACACTTTACCTTCAAAACATGCTTTGCGCCAAGCTTCACAAAACGTTGACTTTGTGAAAAAAGAAAATGTCATTAGTATTAACATCATTGTTATTATTAGTGTTGTTGTTATTGTTGAGTGTATTTACCGGACACACGACTTCCAGGCAAAGTGTTTCCTTCTCATTCGCCTATAATAATAAACAACAACATCATCAACAAAAATATATATCATTAATTGCGAAACTCATCCAAATCTCTCAAAAAAACACGAAAATAATGACACTGAAAAAGACAGATCGAGGTGATAGTGCGTGTCTTTCGGCTTCCCTTTTTCCCTTCTTCCTTCCGTGCCAAAGTACTGTTGATTCAGGTCCCTTCTCTTCTACTAATAACTCATCGAATGCACCGACCGTATCAATTCCACCGGAAGAATTTCTCTACTCCACTCCGGAGAAGAGTAGTGGGGTGACACTGAAAGGGAGCATTCACACACCGCACAGACGCCACACCAATGTATGTGTGTCTATGTAACGAGAGATCCAATAGGACAAGCAAATGAAAAAAACAATCACGAACGGGGCATCTTTCCCACCCACCTACCCACCCCCTTTTTTTCGTTTTTTTTTTTTTGGCACTTGTTTTAATAATTGGTTTCGAGTGTCACCGTCCGTTCCATTTACCCACAATTTACTTTCCACAATAAATATATAAAGTGCTTCTCTATGAGTAGCAAAAATAAATAAATAAATAAATAAATAAATAAATCCCATATTATTATTCTTCTTTTTCTTTTGTTTGCTTGCCTCTCAGCCCTTGCGTCGCAGCATGTCACGTCTTATAACCTCTTCACTAAGAAGGAGGAGGGCTTTGTGCAGTGCAGACGCCTGAGTTTCTACGGGTACGTTCCTTTGTTGCTTGTCCTTCGGGCATCGAAGATTTGCGCTTCCCCCCGCCTGCGGATTTTTATTGCATCCAGTTGAACTGGAGACCGTGCCCAATTCCATGCTTCCGGCACCGATACAGGATGTGCAATCAATCACGGCACAGATGGGAATGTCTCCGCCATACCGTCCAATCGCCTCCCATACACCACGGGCAGTTTCCATCAATTTTCCAGAGACGGAACGATCGTACGCCGCGCAAATTGTAGATGTCATCGCATCTGGAGTTGGCTCTTGGGGCGAGTCATATGACAGGGGGAAAAGAGATACAATAGGAGACGGAAATGGGTTCTTCAAATGGGGCGCCATGTAGGAACCAGAAACCGCATTCCCAATACCATTACTCGCCCCTGTCATGGCAGTCGTATCCACAGTAGAAACGAGCTCCCCGTCCAGAAAAATAATATACGCATCCGTCCCAATGGTATGCTGCTGCAGTAGGGCTTTGTCAAAGCCCTGCCGATGCGTAACGCCCACCAGCTGCATCCGCACTGATAAATTGTCTGTCACCATGGACGAGACGCGAGCAGTTGAATCAGATATATTCAATGGAATAGGTACCTGTAAAATAATCTTCTTTCGGTACTTGGTCGGTGTGCCTTTAGATAAGGGATACCGAAGTGCGCTCTGTTGCATCATTATTTTCTTTGTTGTGTTCCCTTCCCTCCCTATAGAAGTCTCAAAACTGTTCTTTTCACTTTCGGAAATATCCGAGACCGAACTGAGGGATGGACCAAGTGAAGGAGTGGTGTCCTTGCTGCTTGTCTGGCCCTGGGTTGTGCGAGCATTTGCCTCATTTGTCAGCTGCTCGAGTGCGTGAAAGAGTTCTCTAAGATTCGTGCGCTCACCGCTCTCCACTACACCACTATCTTGCAGCAGTATGACACACACCTTGCGTTCACGACCTCCAAACAATGAAAAATGTTTATCACGCCAACATTTCCAGCCGCCGGGGTAATCGCCACTACTTGCGGCGCCCAAATTTGAGTCCCTGCACCCCTGCCTGCTCAATGACTTCTTAAGTGAGCTTGAATACGTCTCAACGTCCTCAAAACATTGCACACATACCCGCTGCAGGGCCTTTGTAGACGGCTGGAGTGCACCGCTCGAGCCCAAAAGAGTGGCCAATCTTTTCTCCATCGTTGTGAGCGGCCCATTTTCTGAGGTCGTTGTATCGATCGCAGCCATTTTTTTAGTGGTCTCGCCGTACCAATTCATCTCCAGCCACCGCATTAGAATCCGCTCTACTGGGAGGAAAACATTGGAGCAGCTGTAGCAGAATAACCCACCACAAATCCTACAATGATGCCGGCGCCGGAAAAACTCAAACCTCTTAGCACAACTATCACATTTCTTCGAGGCATTGTCCGGCTTCCACTGTGCCATATACATGGTATAAATAATTTCTTAATCCCGTCGTACTACTCCCGTCACAAATATAATACACAAAAACAAAGTACAAGTAAAATAAAATAAAATAAAATAAAATAAAATAAATAAGAATCCCTAATTTACTTTATTATTACTTCTTTCGTGTTGTTGTGTGGGGAGAGGGATAATTTGTCTTTCTAAAAAACTCTTCCTTCTTCTCCTCCTTTTGGCTCCCACCTCGCTTGGTTGAAGCAACAAAGGAGCCCCACGACTACAAAGTCCTCCTAGCGCACTAGACACTCCCCTCCCTTCTCCCCTCCCCAATTTAACCCAAACCCCAATCCCTTTTTTTTTTTCTTTCTTTTTTTCTTCTCCTTTCCTTTTGATTTCTACCCCGAAAAAAAAAGGAAAAAAAAAAAAAAAAGTCTTTCTCCCTTTAATTTTTATTTTTCTTTCTTTATCTCGCCTGGTTGCCCACCGAATAATTTCCCCCCTCCCCCTTTCTGGCTGTAGCCACAAGACGACAAACGGACACGCACAACGAAGAAGAAAAACAAAAAAAAAAAACTATTTCACTGCCGAGTCAAAATAAACTCGCTCCCACTACACGCTACTATTCGTTTGTGTTTGGGGGAAAAATGAAAGAAAAGAAAAAAAAAAGAAAAAAAAAAAAAGAGAAAGAAGAAGAAGAAGAAGAAGAAGAAGAGGAAAAGAGAAAGAAATTCAATCCACACAACCCCCTCAACGTACACACAGAAATAAAAAGAGAGAAAGAGAGAAAAGAGAGAGAATGTGACAATCCCCCGCCTTCCCTTCCCCTTCGCATCTCACTCCTTTCATTCCTTTTTTCTTTTTTTTTTTAATGCGCTGCGCAACCGACACACAATTACATGGAACGGTGAGTTCTTGGCCCCTCCCACACACACACACACAAACCCGGCGGATGCTCAATACGGAACGTTTGAAAGCACAAACAACTCATATAACTCCAGTCAAAGACAAAACAAGCATACACAAAAAAAAAAGTGGAACAAGAAATCGACACGTTCCCACAGACACAAGAGCAGACATGCGTATAGGGCACACACGCACACACACACAAAAAAAAAAAAAAAAAAAAAAGAAGCAAAATTATGAAATATGCAACATGCAGAAACGTTGTTTTTGTAAACTTGACGCACATCACCGCACACATGAGACAAGACAAAAAAGACAGAAAACAAATAGCAAGCAGTCACAGAAAGAAAACGTTTTCTATACCACCTCCCTCATACATACATTTATATATTTGGAGGACGGGGCATGCCACACTTATGCCACTGCTTCCTTCACCCCCCTCCTCTTTTTTTTTTTTTTTTTCAGGAATGTCATTGTTAATGGGCAAAGAAAAAAAAAAAAAACATGAGCGTCACACTCACGCCCACACGATCTCCGTTCCACCTCCCTCCTCTTCCTTCTATTGTTGTTGCCTACTTGCTGCAGCACCCACTCCGCTGATGTTGTTTTAAACGCTTTCGTGTGCGCAAGACCACCGGGTCAACACCACTCCCTTTCCCATTGGAGCTAACATGGATGGTTTCGTTCTCCCACACCCATGTAAACTTGCGTGGAAAGCGCTCCATCGCGGCAAAAATAACAGCCTGCACTACCGCTTCAACATTCACGCCTCTTCGACCAACCGCATAGGACCAGCCTGCAAAGCCATGACGTGCACAGAGTTCATCAAGCGCTGCGTGAGATGCCCACTCCGGTGGTGATGCGAAACCCGAGAGAAGGTCATACTTGTTGACAACAAGCCAACATGGAGGGTTTTCACTCTCAATCTCCTCAATTTGTCCTTTCGATGAATTTCCGCCCCTGGTGTCAAATTTGCCTCCAATCGCCGGTGGCGTCGACGATACCAATAATGATTTTTCCTTCGGAATGTGTATCTTTTGCTCCACATCGCTCTTCCACGACAAGGCGCTGTTAATGGAATCCATGCTGTTGCTCATTTCACAAAAAATAAGCACAGCAATGGCGCCCGTGTAAAAGATACGTGTCATCTTTTTTGTACTCTCTTGACCTTGTATATCCCACACCTTAACGATTGCTGGAACGTGGACGAGTGGCCACTTCCCTTCCTTTTCATTCTTCACATCATTTTCATAAAAAAGGGAACAAATTCTTCTACCAGTACTACTGCTATTAGGAAACGCCTTCAAATGAGGCGGCGGAATTCGCGGTGGTAAAAGGACATACTCGCTTCCAAAGGGATTATGTGGAAATCCATGACTACTGTTACTGTTACTGTTACCATTGTTGCCGTTCCCTTTACCCACAGAAGAAGAGAGAAGACGTTCCCCATTTTCATTACGGAAAAAAGGCAAACTGCACGGTTGCGCAATATTGTGTGCGTTATCTCTGTTGCTTTTGTTGTTGTTGCTATTGTCGCCGCTGATGCTGCTGCACCCAAATGCGTCTTCCCGGTGTAACCTTTCATCGTTCCCATCAAGTGCATTGTCGCCCACAAAATTCTTGCTTGTTGTCATTTTAAACTCCTCTACACTTCGATTCTTTTTTTCAAAATACACCGGCGATGGGACGGCAATGGACATTTCACGCCGATGAAACTCCATCTGTATGGTTGTGGACAAGTGCATTGGGGGATTGCCGGTTTCCCAGCAGCGAAGAAATGTCGTCTTCCCCGTGTTTGCGGCCCCAACGCACACCAACTTAATGTCAATTTCACGCATCGTAGACTGTCTCATTGCTACCGTCATCGGCGTGCGGTGAGTACTAACGTCAGCGTACCTCTTTTTTTTTTTTTTTTTTTTTCTTTTTTCTTCTTTTGACCCTCAAACGTCACTACTCGCACAGTTCTCCTCTCTTTTTCCTTCTCGAGAGTAGAAAAAAAAATTAGAAAAAAGAAAGAAAGAAAGAAAGAAAAAAAAGAAAAAAAAAAAAAAAAACAGGGCACAAACTCAAAAGAAATCGGCCAAAGTGGCTGGGAAAAAGTACGGGGATAACTCTTTACTGTTGCCATCGTCTCCCGTGTTGTCCATTTTTTTTTTTTTTTTATTCTTTTCTTTTATTTTTTGTTGTTATTCCTTTTTTTCTTTAAATATTTGCCTCATATTTCATGTATGGTTTAATCGAATGCTGTGGGCCTCACTTTACACCTGGCAGCCGCGCCCAATACCCCTACCTTTTTTTTTTTTTTTGTTCTTCTTAAACTCTCCTCCTTCTTCACTCCTTTGCCAGTAATGTTATTGTTTGGCAGACATCCGTCGAAGACGTTCTTCTAGCGGAAATTTCTCCATGCGCTGTCGCTTGCGGGACGCATGAATTGCCTTGTCGTGACTTGTGAATGATACGCGACTTCCCTTCTTGACCTCATACAGTGTCACCTGCCGCTTATTCTCCTTCTTGCCATTGCTGTCGTGAAGATTGCCATCCGCTTCCTTCGCGTCGTTCTGCGTGCATGGCCGCTGCCGCCGTCGCTGCTGCTTGCCGCTACTTTGCACACCCTTCAGATGCCGTCTTGCGTCATCATCATCATCGCCACTGCCGTTGATGTCATCGCTATTGCCATTCCGCCTATTCCCCTCCTCGTCGTTGCCACCGTCGCTCTCCGCGTCCGGGACGATGGTGAAGAGTTCCGACTCGTACCGCTGACGACGCCGACTCGCCTGGGCACGGCGCTCGTTGATGATCTGCAACAGTTTTGCATACTCCGGGTTGGACGCGTCGAGGGCAAAGGACGACGCACTGTTGCCAACAAAAGCCTTTTGGAACCGCGGGTCCGCCCTTGCAGCCGCCAGCGCTTGGCACTTTGCGCCCACTCCGTTCATGGCATTGTCATCATCGTTGTCACCATGGACGGCATGGGCAATACCATCATCATCACCGTTAGAAAAGCGTTTGAACTTACTGATGCGATTCTCCCAACGTTGTTGCAGCTTGCGCCTCGCATTCTCCTGGACGTAGCGGTTGAATTCGCCGGGATCAATAACGGCCTTCAACTCACGGTACAGACGATTCTCAATGAAGGCACCGTGCATGGCAGGCCGCACCTTCCCACCTGCAAGATCCTCAGCGGTCATTCCAAGTGCATCCATTTCGCTTTTTGGGACAAAGGTGTAGTCATCATATACGGTTGTCATCTCCTTTTCCTCAAGTTCTTCTGTGAGAACCTCAAGGAATGATGCCCATTGGGGAGCGACGCCAAGCTGTGGAATAAAATGAACCTGAACACGTGGCGCATCACAGCAGATGCAAACAACACCGCTGTCGCTGCACTCATACGGTTCGGCCATGTTATGTTGACTACGCAGCACACAAAAGTCCGTAATGTCGGCAGGCGCCTCGATGCTCGTGAAGTTGCTGCCATCTTTTTTGTTCCAGACCTTCAACGATCGGGTATCCGCGGAAAGGATGTGTGAGGCCCCACCTGTCGAGGTGCTGCGGCCTTGGAAGAAGTAAGTCTTCACAATGGGCAAGGCATTCATATGATCCTTCACAATAAGAGGTTTCTGTAACCGAATATCATATAATAGGACATGCCCAGACTCTGTACCGCAGCTAAATAGCAGTCCACTTTCGTCGTCTGTTGCTATATGACGAAGCTCACAGTTCTCATCAATGCCAGACAATGCACCAGGTCCAGTAACAGTCAAACGTGACGCGCATGAACCAGCGCGACTGTCCCAAGCCTCCACAACACCATCTGCACCGGCACACATAATAAGTCCATGATTCTTAAAGACTTCCACATGGTTGATACCAGGGGCAGACTGTGTCTTGTAGCTTTCAACAAAGGCACCCGTCTCGAGACTCAAACGGAAAATCTCGTGGGATGTGCCACCTGAAAGAAGTTCAGCAGTGTACGGATGGTACGCAAGAGATCGCATTGTGTGCGGTACTCTGACACGATCTATAATTGCCGCAGAGTGATGCACAGTAATTTGTCGTCCTTCCCCTCGCAGCGCAAACTTGCGGAAGTCAGGTGAAAGTGAAACCCCGCCAAGAATTGGCATGTCGGCATTAAAACTGTATTTCATGCTTAGCTGATTCACATCAAAGCATTTCAGCCGTGGAGGGTAATCCCCAGAGACAAACAAATGCGTCCCGTTGGCGGTGCGGAATATCGTGCGGGCAAAATGTGGAAACTCGAGGTCATGGATGAGTTCAATTCGGTGCTCTCCACCTGCAAGGCGCTTGTTTTTCTTACGCTCGCTGATCCACTCTGGTAGTGACTTCCCCGCAGTGAGATTGTAGGTCTTTACCCTGTTATGAAGAGACACCTGCATCCTTTACACACGTTCCTGTCACGCTTATATGTAATGTGGCTGTCTTTTTTAAATTATTATTTTATTATTTCGCCCCTTCCCCCCGCCCCTCTTTCCTTCCGTCCTTTTCCCTCCCAGCCGCCTCTGAAATGTCCTCCACGGACAAAATGCAGCAAACAACACCACCACCACCACCAACCCTTTCGGCCAAAATGAGAAAAGAAAAAAGGAAAAAAAAAAAAAAAAAAAAAAAAAGGGCGCATCTATACAATTGGACTTCAATGTGTCGTCTGTATTGCAAACAACAATATTTCTCCCTCTCTTTTTCTCCCTTCTATTTCTTTTTTTGCCTATGAGAAATGAACGTCCCTTTTCATTGTTGTTTATTTCCGCTTAAATTCGTTCCATTCTTCTTCAAAGTCTGAACTTCAAACAGTGCATGCGTGGTTCCCTCTTTTTTCCCCACCCATCCACCATTGTCAATTCCGTGTCATTATCCCCCTTCCCCTACGCACGCACTCTCTATCAGCTACCTCATCCTACCACTAAAAAAAATTTCTTTAATCTCACCTGCATAATGTTATCTTATATACGTGTGTGTATTTTTTTTTTTTTTTCTGTTCACTCTGTCCTTTACTTTCTCCCTCTCTCTCTCCATCTCTTTTTTTTTTTTTTATGTTTTATGTTTTCTCTCCGTTCTTTATTAAAGATTTTCATCCAATCCGCCCTCTGTTTTTTTATTTTATTTTTCTCTTTCTTTTCCCTTTTTTTTTTTTTTTTTTTCCTTTTCTCGTGAGTCAAGCTATCCTATCGCTTATGAATTATATGCAGATGTAAGTATACATACATCCAGGCAGCTCTCTTTCTCTCTCTCTCTCTCTCTCTCTATTTCCCCTTCCCGGCCTGCTTATATGCACTTAAGTGTGCCATCAGTCCACATCCGTGGGCTGCGGCGGGGCATCTGCGCCGCCGTTCCCCTCCGGAGCCGCTCCTCCCGTTGTTGATGGATCGTGCGGCCGCTCCATCGTACGCTTGATGTAGAAGGCGGAGAGAATTGGGTGTGCCACATGTTCAATCTCCTTGTTCTTGGCGTCGTACTCCTCCTTCGTGGCCTCGGGGTTCTCGTCAAGCCACGCAGCGGCGGCGTTTACAACGGCCTGAATCTTCTGCCGGTCCTCCAAAGTAATACCGGTCTCCACATCCGGCTCGCTGAGTGTGGCACGTAGCGAAAAAGTGTAGTTTTCCACCGCGTTGCGGGCCTCAATACGCTCGGCATTCAGACGGTCCTCGTTGGCAAACTGTTCTGCCTCATGTACCATCTTCTCGATCTGATCCTTTGACAAACGACCCTTGTCATTTGTAATGGTGATCGCATGCGTCTTGCCACCCATCTCTTCCACCGCGCTTACCACAAGAATGCCGTCCGTGTTCACGTCAAACGTTACGGTGATGCGCGGCTTGCCGCGTGGTGCGGGCGGAATATCGGTAAGTGTGAAGGTTCCAAGGCACTGGCACTGAGTCACGAGAGGCCGCTCTCCTTCATACACCTTAATTTCCACATTACGCTGGTTGTCCGCATTCGTGGAAAACGTCTGTGACTTTTGGATGGGCACCGTTGAGTTACGCGGGATAAGGACAGACATCACACCACCAGCCGTCTCCACACCTAGTGAAAGCGGA